TTCCCCCTTCAAGTAAACCTCATTAACCTAGCTTCATAATAAATATTAATTTTCGCATTCGGCCAATAAAAGTTCAGCCACTGTAGTTGGCACTTTTTGTAAGTTTATCGTTGCATACTTTTAGGCACACTTAGGAATCTACAATGGAAACTTAAAACTGGTTTTTAAAGACAGACGGGCTTGCGTAAAATAAATATTACCTTGAAATATTTAAGTATTTTTAGAAGAGTTTTTTCAGTATGGAATTGGGTGCACTTTTGACAAATCATCTTGTATAAATGGAAATGAGCCTTGTCTTTGCTGCTGCCTGAGTGTGACCTTTCATACATGTCTAACATCTTTCAAGCTTTCTATAACACCCTTCTTTGCTATTTACATGACTTTTTTTTTTAATTTCTGGTCATTTCAAAACCTTCTTCAAACTTCTTCTACTTAGCTAATTGATTACATCTATTGAACTTAATTTTATTTGCCTAACCTGCTTCGCTTCGTCTACTTTCTCCTGCTTTTGCTTCGTCTAACTCTTCTTTTCTTCATGGTCGCATTGTGAGTCGGCAAAAAAGCACGAAATTTGCTATTTATTGTGTAAACGCTGTAATTTAAATTGGCCTATTTGGCTATAGGTATATTTAATATGTGCTTTTAAGTGTTAAGTGAAATTATAATTCTTCCCTCTATGTCGTACTCTTTTGTTTTACTTCATACTCTATAAGACTTGCTGTATGTATGTACATATGTATGCTTTTATTTTATTACTTTTTTTTTTTGAAATTTTATATAATTTCTTTACTTGTATTTTATTTTATTTTATTTTCTTAAAGTCATTTTTTGTTTTACTTAATTTTATCTTTAATATTATTTTATTTTACTTTATTTTATTTTATTTTATTCTACTTTATTTTATTTTATTTTATTTTATTTTATTTTATTTTATTTTATTTTATTTTATTTTATTTTATTTTATTTTATTTTATTTTATTTTATTTTATTTTATTTTATTTTATTTTATTTTATTTTATTTTATTTTATTTTATTTTATTTTATTTTATTTTATTTTATTTTATTTTATTTTATTTTATTTTATTTTATTTTATTTTATTTTATTTTATTTTATTTTATTTTATTTTATTTTATTTTATTTTATTTTATTTTATTTTATTTTATTTTATTTTATTTTATTTTATTTTATTTTATTTTATTTTATTTTATTTTATTTTATTTTATTTTATTTTATTTTATTTTATTTTATTTTATTTTATTTTATTTTATTTTATTTTATTTTATTTTATTTTATTTTATTTTATTTTATTTTATTTTATTTTATTTTATTTTATTTTATTTTATTTTATTTTATTTTATTTTATTTTATTTTATTTTATTTTATTTTATTTTATTTTATTTTATTTTATTTTATTTTATTTTATTTTATTTTATTTTATTTTATTTTATTTTATTTTATTTTATTTTATTTTATTTTATTTTATTTTATTTTATTTTATTTTATTTTATTTTATTTTATTTTATTTTATTTTATTTTATTTTATTTTATTTTTTCTATTTTATTTATTTTAGTTTGATTTACCTAATTTTCTTTTGTTCTGTGTTTATTTTCTATATGTATTTTTTTTGTTTTATTAATTTAATTTAATTATTGTATTGCAATTTATATAAAATATATATTTTTTTATTTTGTATTTCCATTCTTTTTATATTGTTTTATTTTATTTCTATATTTTATGCATGTTATAACGTGCTTTTTGCATGAATTATATATTTACATATTTATATTAATTTCCGTTTACTTACACATACGTATATGTTTATATATATTTTATATTTCTATAAAGTATACATATGTGCTAAAAACATTTAAAAATATCTTGCTTACAATTCGCTTTAATTTGCATGAATTTTAAAATTATTTAATTAAAATTAATAACTCTTAGGATTAACTTTTTATTTTTTTTTAAGAAAAAATATCTCGTAAAATTTAATACAATTAACAATTTAAATAAGTAACAACTTTTAAATCAGAACAATCGTCGAAGGTGCTATAATGTTTTTAAACTTTTTATATTTCTATTTCACTTTTAAAAATATAAAACATTAAATAAAATTCCTTGTTTGGTTAAGAATGCTATTCGCACTTTCTTAAGCCGATTTCTTTTGAGAAGAACTGTAGTTTGTTTTAAAAGCTCATTCTGTTCGATGGCCTGATACATTCGAATCAACTTTCGGGCTATTCGGTATTAGTAGCACTGTTTCTCAGATACCGAGATCCGAGTGTATTTCTAACCTGAAAGGTCTTCACAAAAATCCATCACACCAAGCCGCAAACTACAAGCGAACGTTTGGTATCGAGCTCCCCTCTCCAATCAGTTTTTTATAGAGCAAACTCGATAAGACGTTTTATGCGACCTTCAGAATGCTTATCCGGTGGTGATTCGCAAAGACTATGCGTTTCACTTTTTCGTAAGTTGGGCGAGGCATCACTTCAGGTCTTCGGCATCATATTTAAATAGCTCACGTGGTGAGTTATGGGCTCCAAACTAACTGTTCTTTTTCAGGCGGGTATTTCCTATTCGGATTACTGAATATTCAGATAATAGATTGTCTATTCCATCACCAACGATTGAAGAATCGATTCACCGTCTCATGGTGTGCCTTTTTCATAGACATTCAGTGGGCATCAGTGCCTAGAACATTTCTTTGGGTCCCGCATGATTATGTTCAGATCTTGAAAACTTCTGTAAAACCGATGCATTTTCACAAGAAACCGCAACGGTCCGAGATCAGTGGTCTCTCTTCAGCCACTACGGTACGGCAATCTTTCAATCCAATTGTTCCACGATTTTTTTTGTTCTTATAAACAATAGTTTCAATTGCAGCTGTACGAAAAAAGCTCGAAATAATGTCTCACAGCTACCTTATAGCGATTTGCTAATGGGCGCGGTCGGAGAGCTGAATTAAAAATACACTAAAATACCAATTGGAGATCTGCTGTGTTCATAGATCAATCGAACCTTTCCGTGTGCTTACTTGTTAGCGATCCGTTTCGATATTAGCTGCGATATTAGCACGACATACTTCTCATATGCCGATCGCAATATGATCGATTTAAAGAATAAGAAGAAGATGAAAGTAGGAATTTGTGCACTTCTAACATAACCTAACATTTTAATCGATATTGACATGTTTCTTTTCTCTTCGAAATTTCTTTTACCGGTCAAGAGAAGCACGTCTTGTGTGCGTAACCAAATTTTAAAAAAGAATTTGTGCAATTCTTCTTGTTGTGGAACCAGATGCGATCCTCAGCGGAGGTGGGGTACTTTTTTATACCTCAAACCTGGAGTTAAAGTTATTAAATGACTAAGCATAGGTATTGCAGCAAAGTTCTATATTTAATAACTGATGACATCCCAGTGTTGTACGTCGAACTTGTGCTAGAACTGGGCATGCACAGAGAAAGTGGAAAATATGTCTTCTTACTTTCTGCCAGTTTGTAGTTACCTCTTTTATGGCGGATCTATTTTGTATAAACTTTTCCTAGGTCTATTCAATAAGTCCCTACTTAGATCATATCCTGTTCTACTTGGCACAGATCTGTTTAGCTATCTTAGATTTTGGTATCGATTTCTATTTGTTTCTTCTGAGCTATTTATTCAAATTGTAAATGAAGTTCAAGCTCTCTGCTGGTCACTCCTAGCGGGCATCGAATTGGTCTGGAGTAGTTCCCGACGTTGCTCACGCGTCAGCTTTTTCTTTCGAAGGGAAATTAAATATATCTTACAAACAATCAATCACAGATAACATACTTTCCTGCAACGTTATTCATTGGGTTCTCGCTTCAAGCGACTTTTAAGAATTGATTAGTTTAGGTATCCATCTAATCTCTCTTAAATTATTTTTAACAATAATAATTTTTCCACTTTCCTCGTCCAATATGGAATATATACAAATACAATACTTATGCAATTACTGGTTTTTACATAGATATTTTAATGGGCATGCATTTATTAAAAAAATTACCTATATTTTTAAATCTTTTATGCACTTAAAGCACTCACAAATACATACATAAAATGAAAAAAAGTTCTACCTAATATCTCAAAATGGCATGTTACATACTTATCTATATACATACTTATATATAAAGTTATCTAAATGGTTTGTTAAGATTTCATAAATAATTTGGAAAAGAAAAATCTCCACCCCTACTCACTATCCGTATGCAACAACCACAATAAACTTACACCTACTCACTTACATATTTATCTCTATATCTCCCTGTGTATAACTGGAACTTGTAACGTTGATATTGTATATTTGCTTTTCGAATTTAATTTATTTACATAAAAAATTACAATAAATATTTATTTTGAATTTTTTCTTAATTATCTATCTTCAATTGTTTTCCACATTTACATATTTACATAATCGCACATTGTCTGCAAAAGGAGCACAACTCGTTAATTAACATTTTTCAAAATTCAAAAGAAAAAGTAATTTTTTCACTAACAAAAATAATAAAAAAAATAATTTTTGCGCTAACAAAAATAAAAAAAAAACAAATTATGTAAGAAATTCCGCGTTTGAAAATTAAAAAAAAAAGTTTACATTGCTTTTTCGCTTAAATTGATTTCTCAATGAAATACTATATAAAAAATTTGGAAAAACCACGCTTCGCGTATCAAAACTTCTAAAATATGTACTTTCTATCATAATTCAATATTGAAAATTTTTAAGTTGTGCTTTTCTTTGAATACAACGTACGATTCGCATTTGTAGCACATAGTCACTTTGTGTATTACATTTTTGGTAGCACTGTAATTAACATTTAATTTTTCAATCTTTTCCACAAAAACTCCCAACAAAATGCGCAATTAAATTAATGATCGCAATGAAAAAACCAAAAAAAAAAAAAATAAAATAAAATAAAAAATTATCTCGAAAAAAAAATAAAAAACACTTTGAAAAAATGTACGCACTGCCATATATAGATTTTCGCCCTCTCTACGTGGCAATGATGGTCAGCTGTCGGAGTTCATAGACGGTTTGGGACCAGGACAATTGGTGGGGCGTCAAGTGTTGGGCGCACCATCGCTGGGTGATATACAGTTATCGATGTGCCATCAAAAGGGTTTCTTGGAGGTAGAAGTCATACGTGCCAGAGGCTTACAGGTAAATGAAAATGACAAATGCGCACGCACCGCGAGGGCAAATATATTTGGAAATTAATAATTGATTGCATTTTAAATAGCAAAAGCCGACGTCGAAAATGCTTCCCGCTCCATATGTTAAAGTGTATTTGGTTTCGGGTAAACGTTGTATTGATAAGATGAAAACATCGACAGCCAGACGCACGTTGGATCCGCTCTATCAGCAGCAATTGGTATTCAAACAGCCATACCAGGGATGCATTTTGCAGGTAAAATATATTAACATGCATATATAAATATATAAGTATATTTAAATCCATGCAAATATTTGAAAAATATTTTTAAAAAGCTTGATTTGAGCTTAGCCGCTTTCGAAAATGGTATCCGAAGAAATATTACAAGGCATGTGATTTTTAAGAAGAAAGTTGTTGTTGTGTTATTGTCTATTAAAAAATGATTTCGGGCTAGCTCCTACAAATTCCAGCCGATAAACCCAACTTTTAACCACTTTATGCAGTAACCGGTGCCGTATGTCAGTAATACTTTATCGAATATTCGCTTCCAAGCCGTCAATCATATTGGGCTTATCTGCGTAGACAAGCGACTTCACATAACCCCACAAAAAATAGTCCAACCGCATTAAATAGAACGATTTCGGAGGCGAAGTCAGAGGTCCACGACGCGAGATAATGCGGTCACCATAAGTTTCCTTCAATGTATCGATCGGTTGTACAGTTCGTATGGTTGTATCTTCTAAGTCATTAGTCCTGACTCTTAGTTTTTGAAGAAATATGAACAAATTATTCAGTCCGACTGCACGAAACTGTGACCTTTTAAGGATTTAAGGACGTTTCAAAAATTGTGGATGAGATATAATCACTCCAAATGGGAAAATTTTGTTTATTAAGGTACCCATTCGATAAAAACTGTTCCTGTTCGCTGAACAAAATTATCTTGTGAAACCCAGAATCAGTGATTATCTCGTTTTAGGCCCATCGTACGAACGTATAATGTACTTACTGGTCATTCGTCTACAATTCTTGGACGAGTTGGATTTTATAAGGCGGCAAAAAAGGTATTTTCACAACATCTTCCATATAGTGTATGAACACAGCTCCAATTGTAGCACATGACGGCGAATAGAAGTCATTCGGTCCCTCTCCGATATCCTATGAGGTATTCGTTGCACACCGATGACTCACATTTACCACTAGGGTAAATAGTATGCGAAACCCATCCATGATTACTCGAATTGCCGACTATTGCTAGCCTCACGAACCCAAAAATGGTAATATCACCGGCGTACGCCAGCAGCTGTACGAGCTCAGCAGCTCGTATTATTTTCTCCAGCAATAAATTAAAGAAGTTACATGATAATGAATCACACTGTCTGAAACCTCGTTTGGTATCGTATGGCTCGGAGATGTCCTTCGCAATCCGGCGAAGTGAACCAAGCAGAGCAATTTTTGATGCTCCCTCCCAGCTAATAATACATTATTGGAACTTCCACAATTATTTGTTGAAGAAAAATGCATAAAAGGGGAAACCATCAAACAATTTTGACATAAGCTCTGTTGAGTAAGATAAAATAAATACCATTTCGGTAGTATTTGAATTAAATCAATTTTTTTTTTTTAGCCAAACTTATGGGTCAAAAATTTTTTTTTTTTTCAAACCTGGCAACAGAGTTAAAGAAACATGAAATTGATAGTGAAAAAATTAACTCATGATTAAGAAATACAAAAAAAAATAATTAAAATTCATTCGTCTTTTCTTCCATTCTAGGTGACCGTTTGGGGTGACTATGGCCGCATCGAGAAGAAAGTATTTATGGGTGTGGCACAAATAATGCTCGACGATTTAAACTTATCGAATATCGTTATCGGCTGGTACAAACTATTCGGAACAACGTCACTGGTCAGTTGTCCCACTAATTTAGGTCTATCTAGGCGCTCATCAATTGCATCACTTGACTCACTCAAACTGTAGAGCACACGCAAGCAAACTGAAAAACAAAAACACTGTAGTGAAAATTTATTAATTCAAATTTCAAATTAAATAATGCAAATACAAACATATACTACATACATATTTAAATTCGAAATTGGCAATAATAGGGCTACTAATTGGGAATAGAGATTTCTTTAACTTAGGCTTCGGCACACGCCATTAACAATTCAAAAAAAAAAAAAAAAAAAAAAGAAAAAAACAAGAAGAATTTTTGCAATTGTTGACACTGTAAAATTATATATTTACCCAATTTCACTTTACTTAACCTTTTACAACCTGTTGTTATTTATTTACAATTACTCACTCACTTAATTACTTATTTACTTACATACTTACTTACTTACTTACTTACCCTCTTTCAAATGCTTCACTGCTTGTGTCCATATATTTAGTACTCGTTCTCTGCGCTCGAACTACAAGTAGAAACAGAATAAATCATTTAGCAAACAACAACAACACTTAACGGATAACTCTAACTACATACTAGTGTATACATACATACACACCTAACTATACATAAATATATATATTATTCCAAGTTTATGTATTGTATATACACAACACAGAAAGCAACAACTTAATTACATTCAATTATATATTTAATTAAACAAAAAACTACACAAAGTAATCTTAAATCGAAAATAATCAAACACGAAATTATACAAAAAAAAAATAGTAATAATACTAACAGACAACAATAATAAACAAATGTAATTTAAAGCAGTAATTTTTGAATTCATAAATGAAAAATGCGAAAATTGTAAAACAATGCGCGCAAAAACAAAATATTACCGTTATATCCACACACGTTTAGTAAACATTTCACCGATTTAGTCGCATTTGGCATTGAATCGCTCAACGTAGTTTCTAGGTATGTCCCATCCATCTTTAGAAAAACTTTAACGAAATACTTTGTCTCTCAAATATGTAATTAAATTTAATTTTATTTTTCTACATTTTTTTTTTTTTTTGTTTTTTGTTTTTAATAATTTTTGCATGAGTGGACTGTTGTTAAAGCGATTCATTACAACTTTTAGCTTGTGCAATATCCTTTCCAAAATTTTCAAATTTTATATTTGTACATGATATCATTTATAAGCATAAACACAAACATACATAAATTCACAATTGTAAAAATCGTCCCAAATTTTATATTATAATGGCAAACAAAATTATTTCAATTTTTTTTTTTGTCATAAATGAAAATAACTCCAGAAACGCACACATACATACCTTTCTAATGGTTATTTTGGCAAAACATTGATCGCTTAACGGTGCATAACCTCAAAATAATATTCCACATTTACTGTACGACCAATATGGGAAAAGCTTCTGTAGTCATGACACAAAAAAAACTCTAATATTTTTCTTTGACACTTTTTTCTGCGTCATAACGATATAACCGTGATTCGTCAACAGTTATGACCCATTTGAGCGATGATCGTGTCACAAGTTGTATGCTCAAACTTTCGACTTTCCTAGAAATTAACGCCACTCTAGACATATCAAGAGTTCTTGAGCACTATTAATATTAATATTTGGTGAATTCTTTGAAAACGCCCCAAACTTTTGAGCCTCTCGAAAGCAAACAAAACAAAGTACATACATATATTCGAAATTGGTTAAACCAATATTGCTCTACGACGCTCTGGCGTGGTGAACTGCTGCCAACAGCAACTCGTATAGAAAATTATAATATCGGCACTTGAAGTGTTATTTCACCTACCACCAAACGACATCATATAATTGTTGGGCTTTAGATGAATTCTCCGCTAGCACCTTCAACGCAGAAAACTACAAACATACACCCAGGCAGCAGAGATCTCACAATCTCACTTCGTTTTGCTTCGAAAATGTACTTGGAAGCAAAGATATCTACAGCTTTCCAAGGGTTAACGACTACATGGGTATGGGTAAAGAAAAAACTGATGAGATCACCAAAAACGTCGTCTAGTACGACTTGCTCTGTTTCCGTCCGGCCATAGGTAGAAATTGTTCTATATATTTCGGAGCTTCGAGCTTCAAAGGTCTACAGAAAAATTCATAGTTCATAGTCTCTTGAAATTCGCAAAAGGCCTTGACATCCTAGACAATGAATACTCTAGATCGCAATAATAAAACGGACCTCTTCTACCTTCCACTACAAAGCACCAGTGGGTCTATGCAAGGCACATCGGCCGGTCAGTGTAACCTAACCTAATGTAACTTAAAGGCATTACCTTCTTAATAAACCCGACAGCAGCCTATAATCTGATTTTTTCTCGCTTTCTCTGGATGGAAATAACTACGTTCGGTACTGGAAAAACGTCTTCTTTAGCTAGTTCATAGTTTATCTTGTTGCCCTGGTGCCTAATAACTGTAAATACACGAATGTTTTTTTCAATTTCCTCCAATGCCGACGTCTTGCTAAAGCTTAGAGTGTTACAGTGTCAGGATCACAAGCACTAGTCGCTTTTTCAGCTGCTTGACCAACGACCTTCATCGAAGAAAATTTTAGAAAAATATATTTTCTCTTCACTGGTGTCCGTTTTTGACATGTGTTCAAAACACTAGTACCCTTTCACACTCGTCAAGTCTTGCTTTCCAGCCAGCTAGTTCTCAGACGAAGGAGGTGAGAAGAAAGAAGAAAGGGTACAGATATCTCGGTAAGAGCAAGTCTTTCATTTGAATTTAATAAAAGTTGAAAATACGGTATTTCCTCAGCAGCTCAATTACATGTTTCACTCAAACATGCGCCTTTATATATTTTTTTCTTTATCTTCCATGAAATCTATTCTATTGGTTAAAAAAAATCAAAGAGCAGAAATATTACATATCACATATTTCGCGATTAACAAAATTTACAGGGTGACAGTGAGTTCAATATACCAAAGTTTTATTTTATTACCTCGACAGAATAGGCCTGTAAAGCAAATTATAAGACACAAATTTTTTTCGAATTATTCCAATTACTAGACCAACTTCCCGCCTTAAGTAGAAAATATCATCTTTCTAACTCCATCAAACGTAATTCAATCGCGCTTATGGAACGCGAGCTACAGATCACTGCAGCCAACTGCCAGCGAAAATAATGGATTACATTTTTTATCAGTCCTTTTATTTCAAGGCTTTAAATTTTATTACTTGCAACTCCAGCATATATACATACGTGTACATATGCATGGTCATATATTCATTGATGTATGAAAAAGTTAAACTCATGACCCCTTTGTTGTTTCCAATCTTTGCATAATTTTCATTCAATATTTATTAAACACATGTTCTGTAATTTTTTTTATAATATTTTTCAAATATACGTAACACCTATACATATACATATACATATACTACATAATAATATTATACAATATTTACATTTAAACATTTACAAACAACTTCAAATCAAAATGGCTAGAATAACTGCATACATAAAATGTCTCCTCTATATATATATACATAAAAATATGAAATATATACTAATTAATAAAAAAAACTGTAAATAAATATTTTAGCTAGCAAAGCTTCGAACAATATTGCCAGAGCTTTTCGTTGATCTCTCTAATATATTTAACACATAATATGTAAATAACAGTGATAATGCGCTGATAGTTAGTATGTAAATAAACGTTACCGTTTTAGGAAGTCAAATGTACCGAAATATAAATACGTATATATATGTACATATGTACATATATATAAAAATTTCCAAACATTATTTTGTAATATTCCACAATAATTCCCTCACACCTTTCACGACTGCTCTAGTCCTCGCTGCAACCATGTCCGTAACGCCTTGTTTTTGATACTTCCGAAATTTCGGTTCCATAGATAGAAGTACATAAATTCTTTCAAACTATTGCCTAGTTTGCCAATCTTCTCGGAAAATAATTGAGCTATAATATTTTTCTGGGACTTGCAATAGCTGAAATTACGCTCCAAGAAACTAAGTCTCCACTTAAGTCCCGAAGTATATTTTTTACAATTATTATTATACTCAAAGTGGTTCAAAAATAACGGGAATTTCCTTATACCGTAAACCGAAACAATCCTTAGGAGTATCGTATATCTATACATACATTCATATATTATAGTATACTCGTTTAAATCTTGTGTTAGGTTGTAAAGATCCAAAAGTTATCACCGCTGACTAGAAATTTCGTCAGATAACTTCCATAGTTCCCGAAAAGATTTGGAGGTTTCGAGTAATGAACCAGGGACTGAAAATTCTTATCTGTTGTACGACTTACTTGAAATTTGGTGCATATGTTGATGTTTGCTTCAGTTAACAGAAAGACTACCCTCCTCCGTGAAATGGAGCAGGGACTGACCTATACGGCAAAACGTACTTTTTTAATAGGTTTTGTGTAAAAAAATTTTTTCCGGGAAGTGTTTCTTTCGTACGACTAATAGAATGCCTTTATTTCCTGAATACGAACCAGATATACGGAAACAAGTTCAATTTGCTTGAAATATTTAGATTTGACAAAAACTAGTTTGATTTGGATATACATACATAAAGACCAGAAAGTTTCCTCAAATTGTTTCTTTTCCAAAACTAGCAGTTTCGTTCGTTTTAATGGGACAGGCGGTCAATAACGAGTATTATTTGAGTGTTTAGGGGGAATTGTGGGAAAACATTTTCCTGAAACATTCATTACGATAATGCGCCATCGCACCGAGCTATTGCTGTGAACGATTTTAAGACCAAAAACTCTTTCAATAACATCGACCAACCACCCAATTCACAAGACCCGGCCTTATGCTGATAAATTTTTATAATGTTTTTATAATTTTTATAAAGCCAGAAATGAAGCGGTGGTTTGACATTTCCTGACGAGGGGCTACCATACTTGAAAAAACTTCGCAATTTTTTATTTTTATTAATTTTTTTAATTTTTTGCTGTTGATCGGAAGACCCTGAATGCTAAACACTCGGCTATTGCTGCCGCGAGTGGGGATTACTATCGATAAAACCAGAGAATCGCTGTACCACATCAAACTGATATAGTTACATGAATTGGTCCAATAAGGCACTACAC